GGGGGGGGGGGGGGGGGGGGGGTGGATGGGGAGGCGTTTTTCCTTTTTTCGATGGGTTTTCCGAGGGGAGAAAATGGGATTATCCCCTGTTTACGGGTCTGTTTCGTGCGAGACGCCCAGCCGTATAGGACCGACCGTCCCTCCGCAGGTCGAACGGCACAACGAAAAAAGACCGGCGAATCAAGCCGAAAGCAAGAACCACACGGTGGTTTGAGATGGGTGAATCGGTATGACGTCATGGCTGTTGCATTACGTATGCAGAACGACAGAACTTGAGCGTAGTGGGCGTTGTTTAAACGGGCCACACAAAGGGGGCCAGGTATCTCGCTATCAACCAGAAGTCTGAACTTCCAGAGCGAAGGCAGATATAAAGAGCAACACACAAGATTGTAACCGTCATGGTGACGATATCTCAGCTTCGGTGGTGCTTGTTAGCCCGGAGTCGGAGTTCTTTCAAGCACGAGCGACACGCGAACGTCAGCTTGTTTTTGAATCCCCGTGTGCTTGTACAACGTAAGGTGCACTACAAAGTTATGTCGGGTAGCTTAGATGTAGCGATGAAGTATCGGCAGTAATCGATTTGCGTCGAGTACGGTGGTCAATGCGACTTCTGGCCTTGTGTCCGTGGAGGGTGAGTTATTTTCATGATTCGAGCGTGTACCGCCTTTCTTTGTAATTGTTTTGTCCCGGGTACTACTGTAGCGCGGTCGATATTAATGTTAATACGAACAATGCACCACCCCGGTTTCACCACCACCGCTGCCTATTTCACCGAGCTACGCTAACGAGAATATGGACAGTGTGAGATCATGACGATGACTGCTTCACGGAAGGTTGATCTTTCGGAGATAAATCGCACACCTGTCCTTTTTTTCGTGGGCGGCCGAAACCCGCCGAGGGACAGAGCAATAGGTCGATCGGCTTTTGAGACACGGTCGGGCACGGATGGGGGTATCGGAATAGAGCGCGGTCTGCGACAAAGATTAATTTCCGTCGGAGAGACTGAAGCTCAGAATGCCGTACACATGTTCACATGAAGACCCTTCTTTTGTCCTTGGTTCTTTGGTTTGATCCTGTTCTTCTCTATCGGCGAAAGCACGGATTATCTTTTACTTGAAACCCTGTAGACCTTTCGTCTTCCAGCGTACATTACCTTCGTCAAATTCAAAGTCCTTCCATGCGTCATCTACAAACTTGATCCACTCCGTGGGTCCCTCTTCTTGTTCGCCACTTCGCATCCCAAGCTAGTCAACCTCTCCACTCCCACACCGCAAATACATGGATTGCTGTACCCTTCTCGCGATAAAAATACCTCAGGCAGGAACCGCAGGAGGGGGTCCAGCCCCCCCCTCCTATGTTACCCCGGTTGGGTCGTCTAGCTACTAGAAGTGGAGGATAGGGGCCAGAGGGGCAGACGACAGAGTCCAATGATGGGAGCAAAAAAAAAAAAAACATGCGGTACTGCCATTTTAGATTCCGTGCGCCTCGTCCCGATCGATCGTAGGGATTGGGTCCCCAGTTTTACCCTGCCTGACGGCTGCATTAAATTACTTGTTGTGCTCTTGGAGCACCCTATAGAATAGGATGGTTTTCTCTGCTTTCATCTGCGCCGCCTGGATGGAGATCTCTGACTACCTTATTTACTTGCCAACTTCCCCGGCGTACTCTGTAGCGCCGTGGCACGATTCTCTTCAAAACTGTCAATTCCTCCAGTTTAGGCGTGTGAAGAGCGAGGTGCACGTTTGCGAGGGTATTGGGTTCAGCTTCCCTGCTCGTGCTGTGCCAAGTTCCGTTACGATGCATTGGACATGTGTGCATTCCACGGGCAGTAGTCTTTTACGACCTCTACTCACTCACTCCGTCTAGACAGAGCATGACAGCGATTTTTCGTACACTCTGCCAACTTCTTCGGCACTCTCGTCTCCACCCCCTCTATCCTTGCCCCTGGTACTCCCGTCGCTCACCCCTCTGGCCGCTTGTCTGTGGTTATCGTTCACGTGCGTGTCAACACCATCATGCAGCAGTGATTGTACAATATCAACATTCACTCCACTACTGCATTTTTGGTGGAATGTTTCATGGAAGTCGATGGGATTCCATGGAACGTTCCAAGGGAAAGTACGAAAATGTGCAGCAAGCCAACAGGCCGATGTTCCGTTTCGATGAACGCGCGGCGAGATCCCGCCCTTACGGCTGTGCGCAGACACGCGACGCTCGTTTCCTTCAGCTCTGCCCTTGCGCCACCGCAGATGTCGTCTACCACATCCGTGGCTCGGGTGGATAACACCTAATATCCCCGGTCCCAGCACGCCATGACTTTGAGTAGAGACGGCAGAATACCTCTGTCAACCTGCACCAAGAAAGCGTGTTCGCACAACTCCTCTGTATCCGTCCTCGGACAAGAGAGGAGGTAGGTTCGGCCGGGATCTAAACGGCAAAGTGCCACCACCGCATGCTTACAGCGGCAGTAGCAACAGCAAGTGAGTGGAACCGCCGCTATGTCGACCTCGACACGTGAAAATATCACGCACCCGCCGTCATGGGCCATGGAAAACCTCGTCGGCAACGCGAACCTCCGGCTCGGGATTCCGGACACCATCTTGTTCAGAGATGGTGCACCGCACGTCTGGCTCTTCACATCGAAAACGGGAGATGTCCTCAATAAGAGGTCGTTGCGAAAGTCCAGCATCAAGGAGAGGTTCACACGCCTGTTCGCCACTAACCCCAACAACCCTCATCAACGCATAGCAACAGTGCGGTTCATGGACGGCACGGTCCGGAATCTCGGGAGGGAAGCCTTCAAGGAGATGATGAGCAAGTTTCCGGCAACAGAGCCAGGGATTGTGTGCATCCAGTGCTACATGCAGGGGAAGGGAGCCAGTGGGACGGTCTACCGTAACTCTTACCGGGTCGTAAACGACAAGGGTCTCGCCGTGACAGGAACGAGCTCGTTCACCACACTCGCCGCCGACCAAACGGCAGCGACCCCGTCTTGCACGTGGAGCGAACGGGAGATCAAACTCGAGAAGTGCTTGGCTTCTAGCATAAACAAGGCGCTAGACGCCGTCACGTTGGGCATCGTGCGCTTCATCGAAGCCGAGCAGGATAAACCCACCCGCATCCTCGGCCTCATGTGCGACTACGTCGTGGATGCCGCGAGTCAAATCTGGCTGACTTGGATGGGAGAGACGACAATTGCGGTAGCAGACGCAGCACGAGATCTGCGACTCGCCAACGTTGCGATGGAGGGGCCGCGCGGGCGCGGCGAGTTTCTAGGCCCACAGAACGCGCTCGACATGCAGAGAGAATTCGGGGGTCCTGCGGGTCCACGGAGAAAGAGCCGCCGTCGGGTTGATTGCCCACCAGCAGGGGCGGCGTCTACAGGGAAAGAAGCAGACTTGGGGGAAGCTATAGACCGTGCGGCGGAAGTGGTCGAGCTACCGTGCGAAAAAGTCGGCGCCGGAGGCTCGGGGGGTATTGCGAACGCGCTCTCCCGCGTGAAAGCGACTAAAAATGGGCCCATGGTTTCGCTTCCGGGAGCAGGACCTTCGTCGTCGGTAGTGGCCGGGTCGTCTTCCTCTCCCTCGTTGGCGGGCATGCGCGAACAGAACGTAGACGCCACCATGAGAGCAACTCTGTCGACGATGACAGTTGGGGTGAAAACCGGCGAGGCGTGGGAGGCCAAGGGTAGTGGTGGCAGATCACTGGGGGAGAAACGGTTTCCCAGTTCGTTCGCATGCGCTGGGGACTACTGCACGATCCGAGTACTGGTGAGAGGTGACAGCAGCGTATGTTTGTTTGGCACCCGGGAAAGCGTGTTGATATAGCATTGCATGTCGATTCCGGAGTGTACATACAGCCTGCTAAAGGGCCAGGTCATGGGTTCGAGTCCCGACAGCGTGAGTTTTTTCTCGCAAATTATATCCGGGTCTCCGTTGGAAGCGACGCGCTGCAAAGCTCGTTGTTGGTAAACTTGATCGACTTCAGAAGTCGCGAGGGAAGGGATTGCTGTACCCTTCTCGCGATAAAAATATCTCAGGCAGGAACCGCAGGAGGGGGTCCAACCCCACCCTCCTATGTGACCCCGGTTGGGTCGTCTAGCTAGCAAAAGTGGAGGATAGGGGCCAGAGGGGCAGACGGCAGAGTCCAATAATGGGAGACAAAGAACAAAAAAACTGAAAGCAACGGTCCTATGGTACTCGCAACAGGTTGATATCGCCGTGAACAGTTTTGGTGCCAGAGAGGAACCCATTGAGGCATTTTCTGCTGTTGTTCGGGTCGCCTTGTTGCCGACTCTCACCGGCTTGGCAAGGCCCTTGCGGGAACGTGGGTGCGGTCGTGTGTTTAAAGCTCCTTCGTGGTTATGTGTATCCTGTGTTCACGCCTAGCATGCAAACGTGCATCTGCAGGCATCAGCAACATGGCAAATTCAACGGCAATCGCAGCATCACTGCTAAAAAGTATGGCACGCGACTCCATGTGACAGGGGAATTTGGAGGTTCTCCGCCGAAGTACCATGGCAGTTCGACACTGTTGTCTCTCACCTTGCGAAGACGTGTGCTGCACTCGTCGCAGGACCCGCGAGAGGACGCAGATGACCCGCGCAAGAAACGAGATCCACAAGGGTCGCTGCTCGATCCGACTATTTCCGACAAAGATTTTTTCACGGAGGTGTGCATCACATGAATTATTGAGTGAAGACTATTGTATCCCGATAGGTCTGTAGTTACTGCGTAGGGAGTTTGGGCGAACACGAACGAAAGGGCGCCTTGCAGTCTGACTTCTTCGGTTGTCTAGAGGATGCGACTTACTGCACGTAGAATTGTCTGAATCGCTTCACAGACCTGCTGATGGCAAATTGAGACATGAAAACGATATTGTGTTTGAGGGGGTGGGTTGCGGACCCTAGGTATGATTTTGCAGTTTTACGTGTTGCATTGCTCTGGGCCATCGGAGGAAAGTGAAAATATTGCCACCCTTAACACCCACGACCTACCCTATGCGTTGACTCCTTCAGAACCGCGGTCAGCATTTGGGGATACTAGGCCAACGTGGGGGCGAAGGCTGTTGTTCTTCGTGTGGGCAAAACATCACTTTGATTTAGCATAGATTCTTCTACAAGCTGACAACTGCCCGCTGGTCGTTGCCGTTCTCGATCCCATGGACCCCGACCGCTGGCTTAACTGAAGGTGGCCACACGGCTGTTCAGCGGGCAAGAACTGTCCGCCCTTCGCAGAGATGCGAGTTTCCGCCGTCAGATAGAGGAGGGTCTCGTGATGGAGGTGAGAACACCGTCATCCACGACAGCGGGGGCGGGGAGTGGGGAAGGGGGACAACATGCAGGAGGGGGAGCTTCCGCGCCAGGAAGACATAGCGGAGCTGGTGGAAGACCCAAAGGCGACCCCGTCGCAGGGGGGCTGAAGGACAGGGACCCTACGGCTTGGTCCGAGGTTTCGTGGAAGAGCATAAGTCTAGCGAGAAGGGGAAGGGAGAATCGAGCGGGTGGCGCCAAGAAGGACAAAAAAGAGCTGTCTCTTCTTGACTCAGGCGAGACGAAAGACAGGCTTGATGCGGTGGGAAAGGGTGGGGTGGGGAAGGGTCCAGATGGTTCCAGCGGCAGCGGGGAAGGGCAGAAGGATGCTCGGAGACGCTCGCTGCAGGAGACGGAATCTAGTACGATGAGGCAGCACGCTCGCAAGAGGGAGGACGAGTTCCTAGCAGGAGGCGCCCAGAACTTTTACAAAACTGTTCGCGTGTGCGGGTCTTGTTTCAGGGTGAGTTAGCTCCGTAGTTGATCGCATCCCCGCAGACCGACCTTCATAGCTTGATTGCTCCGCAACCAGGAGGGCGCGAAAAACGGCCCATAGGTCTTACGGAAAGCTCTCGACGAGATCTTCCGAAATCACCCTCATGGGCGGTGGTTCGGTGTTGGTTCTCAAGCCAATCGAGCTTATGACTGTCGATCTAGGGACGATGTAATCTCTCGCACAACGACGGTACGTGGGAATACGATTATGGCCTTGACGGGTAAACTGATAGCACACATACAATCCAGGCCCTGAAGCTGTCCCAAAATCTTACCTTCGCCTTTGAAGCTTCCCAAAGAAATGATCAGCTACGCAACGGAGTAAGTGCCCGCCCGGACGGATGGGACAGGTTCAATTGCTATTCCTTTCATTGACAAAAGGCGTGAGGATGCGTATTCTCGTCACCTCCAGCAGTCCGCGCTTATGTCATTGATCTGTCCACCAAAAATCGCACAATATCACCGCACCACAGGTGTACGCTCTGCTGGACAAGGCGCGGGCGGCTATCGCCCGTCAGGAGGCCCTCACTGCGGAAGAGCTTGCCGTGTGCGAGCGGTCAGACTTCCTTGACTCTTCTAGGTGAGCCGGGGATGCTTTCATGAGGTGTTGGGTAGTGGTAACATCATTGGATATGCTGTATATGTACCATAGAGGCCGATCGTGCCGCAAGAAGCCCATTGTACGGCCGCCGCAGGTAGGGTAGAAAAGTGCTCCGCACAATCCCCCTACCCTCGTTTCTCTGCACCCGTTTAACGTCTCCCGTCGCTCAGGTCTTCCGTACCGCGAAGACGGCGACCAAGAGCGAAGCAGCACGACCTTTACGGTGCACAAGAAGATACAGACCCGGTGAGCGTGAGCTCGGACGAGCTGCAAGAGTGCCGCCGCCGACGACGCGGCGGTGGCGCCGACAGCGATTCTACCCGATCAACCGCTGCGGGTGCCCTGCCTACTCGCCCTCGCAGCCATGGAGACGACGACAGCCAAGCCAAGAAACAGCGTCGACACAGGGCGGACGGGGGTAATGGGTTTAGCGGGAGCGGGCGGGAGGCTCACACATGGAGAGGGAGGCTGGAAGAAGGGAGCGGAGCAGGTCAGAACAAGGGCAAGGGGCACGCCAATTGCCCGGCTCTCTCGTCCGGGAAAAAGTTTGAGGACCTGGACAACTACCTCCGAGGGTGTGCTTCGGCTTCGGCGGCCAAGCGTGAGAAAAGGAAGAGGGGGCTAGGGTTAAGTTGGGGTAGCGGCGGCGGGGAAAGCTGTGCAGGGACGACCACCGACGGGAGCTCGTTGTCGTTTGCCGAAGGGCACGAGGTGAGGAAGCGACAGTCGAGCAACGGCAACCTCGGTAGTGATGCAGCAACAGAGATTCAAGTACTGCTGTGTAGTATTGAGAAACACCAGGGGGTGGGTGCTCTTGTATGGGGGCGTAATCCTTTCTTCACATGCAATGTTCGCAACACAAGAGGCTCTCGCACACCGACCCACAAAGGCGGCAACAGCAATAAGGTTGCTTGGTTAGCTTGGCTTGGCGAATGTTGCACCTCTTTCTCAAACCAGCAACGTGCGTGCGATCATCCGTGGAGTCACATTGCCGCACCACCCACCCTGTACCCACTAAATAACCCCACCCTTCACTTGACGCGTGTTAAGGAATTCGCGATGATCAACTGCTATATCTGTTTTAGTTGCCAAGACCGACTACAACCATACACTCATGCCTGCCTAAGTAGCGCCGGTTCGATTCGTTCCTGTTGCCACGGATGTCGTCAAACATCGCCGCCAAAGTTCTGTTGAACCCTTCCCCTAGCAGGACGATGACGGGGAGGAGGAGGGATCGGGCCTTTTCCACGCACGGGTTCTGCTCGCCGAGGCAGAACCCAGATCTGCCAAGAAGATCAAGGAGACGCTTGAGCAAGCGGGGTACATGGTTACGGTGGAAGAGGACGGCAAACAGGTAAGAGAGCCCGACGTTTCGCGAAGAGTCTTTAGTGTTACGATCGAAGGTTTGTGGAACCGCTAAAAATGGAGAAGAGAGAGGGCGGGTCCAGCCAGCCCTCCGTTGAATCGCGAGCTGCCATTGCGTCTCAGTAGGTTTGTAGACCGCTGTGCACTCGGAGTGAACTAGTCCGGCAGGCACACATCGCTTTTCGCAAAAGCCAGGCCGCAAACCCTACCCCCGAACGAACAAACACAGCGGGGGAGGGACTTCTCTGGCTTTTACACGCACCTGTCAACTGAATTTGATTCTTCGAAGCGTGTTGCACGCTATCACCCCCACACACAATGAACAGACACCACGCCGCCGACGACGTGATCAGGTGCTCGAAGCTTTGATCGACGGCGACGGGGAGTGGGACGCGCTCGTGGTCGAGCGAGACACGCCCGTCATGGACGGCTTCCAGATAGCCTCGGCCCTGAGAGACTTTGAGAAGGCGCGAAGAAACCGCTCTTCCATGGCGCGGGCGGCCGCGGTGGAAGGGCACGCGAAAGCAGGCGGCGGTGGAGCAACGACGGGCGGCCAAGGCCGACAACAGGATGATGGAGGTAAAACTTGCTCCAGCACTTAACATGTGATATTTTTGGCCACTGTATGGTGCCGGAGTGCTCTCTCTCTCTCTGCTTAGCGCAGGAGGCTATTGGGGACGGGGTGCGAGGGAATTTAGTGACGTACTTTAAATGTCGATGGCCTGTTGGACAAGCGCTTTGTGTATACACCGCCGTGTTGCTTCAACATGATGGCCCCGCCTTCGTACTCACGTCCAGGTCATCCCTCCACGAACCATCTGTGGGATATTTATGTTGCGTGGTACGTGAGACGACGGCTAGGTAACAGCGTCAACGTCAACACCATCCAAACCTATGATACCGCGAAAAGTGGCCTCCACGGATCCCACTGTCGAACTTTGACGTCCATATAACCCCGCCCTCCCCACCGTCATGCTCACCTCGCTCTTCTCTGCCCTCGCAGCCCCATCGTCCGTCCCCCCAGCCGCCGAGCTCAGACACCTGCCGATAATATGCCTCACTTCAAAGGCCTCTCCGGATGACCTCCGCTCCTACATGGCCGCCGGCATGGACGGCTGCATCTCCAAGCCCGCTGAGCCGGGACCCTTGCTCAACACTCTCCGCGCTGCGATCCCACGGCATCTCTCTCGGCCGTCGTCGATAGACGGAGGTCCGCTCACGAATGGGGCTGGTCCCGGCCGCGGCGGCGGTGGCGGCATGAAGGTCATGCAGGGCAAGGGGATGGGAGTGCTGACAGGTTCGGCGGCGTGCGCCGCTGAGGGCATGGCGCTAGCCCCGAGGCACGAGGGCAGCGTGGAGGGGAGCTTGCAGGTGTTATTTCCACTTGCCGTATGTCGCACGTCATGCTCGTTGTGTTCAACTCAAAGGCAGCTCTAAAAATTGCGTTGCACATCAGGAGAGGTGCGGTCTTTCGAACCTGGCGACCCCTTCCCACGCCGTAGCCACTGCAATCGCTGCGTACATCTCCCCTCAGCGTAATCCACCAAGGTGAATGGTCGGGGTACCCATACCCACGGCATGCATGACGGTGATCACTACTCTACCATGACCATCGCTGTTCCCACCGTCCTTGTGCAAGGTTGATGCAGATACTGCTGTCCCGTACTGTGTTGTCGGGTCACCGCCTTCGGCCGGGGGGTCTTCCGGGCGCTTCTTCAACCTCGTGGTGTGCCACGACCTCTTCGACAACTACGAGCGCATGAAAATCGTCGTTGCGCCGTTGATCGCACGGTACCCAGGGACGCAGGTGAGGAGAAGCGGGCGTGTGTTTGGTCGATGCTATGCCACGAGCGCTGAGCTACCGTACTCACACACAAGATTTTCACTCCCACAAAATATACAATTGCAGGAAGAATATAGTGACCAGTGAGCATGTTCTTGTGGCTCATCATGAGCCCAAAACGTGCTGCAAACAGATCAATAAACAGGATCACCAAGTTGTGAGACACTCCACAGAAAATGCAATCCCGATGGTACCACTACTTCACAAACCAATAGTAGCCATCGCCGGAGGAAATACCTTTTATGGAATACGGTTCTGTGCAGGGACAATTTCTGCGCGGCCACGTGTGTTCCGTGTCGCGCACGTGCCGTCAGGATGGAACGCTATGACCGGGAGAACCCCCCCTTGCGCCCCGACTTGCTTTCTCACCACTGCTCCGCCTAAACCCCCTCCATCCTTCGTGCTCGTCGTAACAGGCGCTTCTCTGGAACTATCCTGGTCAGGCTTTCAGTGAGTGGAGAGAGCAGCAACTGCTCAATAACGAGTACCTGTCCACCATCCTGCAGTACCTCTTGCTGCACCTCGGCAAGAAGAGCAAGGGCGGCACCGGTGAGAAGCAACAAAGAGGAGCCCCTGAAAATAGAAATAATAGCGTTGCGTACGGACACGTATGTGGTACCGCACAATGAGCAGAGCAGCGCACAGTGCTTAGGAGGGGATACTTTCAGGCGGTCATTGGTGACGGCGTGATCCTGTGTCCCGTTTCCGCGATACGCATGATTTTTCTCTCTCAACAAATCCTTCCGAAGGGGTATCCGTCGCGAAATATACTTGTTTTTTCTGGAGGGCATCTCGATTCCAACTTCCCCCCCTGCCCCATGTGCGAATACTTCGTCGGTCCGCCTCCACCCCCCTCGCGAAACACTTACGATACCGGGCGCCACCCAACTGAACGGCGTACTCGAACATTTCTCCTGACTGCAGGGGATTTCGACTCGGACAGGCCTTACCACCTCGTGGGATTCGGATCGGGAGGAGCGGTGGCTACGTTTTACGCGAGTCACTTCGTAACCCCTTCTCCGCGATCGCTGCTCCTCCTCAACTCCTTCTCCTACGTCGACGCCTACCTGGCCGGAGTGCTGCACGACTGCATGAACGTCTTCAACTGCGCTCCCGAGTCCAGGCCCGACTTGCCCGTATACTTCCACGCCAGGTTTCTCTTCAGCCCGGCGTACCTGGGACAGGCAAGTTGTGTGCTTTGAAGTACTTGGATCCATCGCTCAGAACAAATGCTGGTCGGTCAACACGGGGGCGGAGTGGAGGATGTTTTGTTAATGCGAGCGCGATCAACTCTGGGTTGTCCGTGCGTGATGACGAGGGGGACATTGGGCGGAAGATGTTCGTCGGCACGAGATCTGAGGAAGTGCCTATATATTCCTTCTTTGTAACCTGATGCTGGTGGGGTCGGGACAAGAGGGCGTCCGAGTTGCAGGGAGGAGGGGCGGGCTGAGCCGGTGTCAAGTCCAGCCTGTCGCACGAATGATACGTCGTAAAATGCTGCGTATTCAATCCCGTTCCATCTCCCATTGCGTTGTTCTCTAAATAGCTTCACTTACCGTCCGCTCGTTTTCGAACCGCCGGACTTTATGCCGATTTTTCATCCCAGGTATCGACACCGCTGGCGCTCAACATATACACGGCCGTACACAACCCGATCTCGGTCAAAGGACGGCTGCAGCTCTGTAAGGGGGCGCTCGCGCACGTCGACACCCGCCCGGTGCTCTCCGAGATAGACATCCCCGTTGTCTGCATCCAGAGCACCCAAAATAACTTTGTCAAACCGTTGCACACCGACCCTTACGTCTCGAGGCGCGGCGGTGAGGTCCGGAGCATCCACAAGGTGTGAAGTAGCGCCACCCTGGTTTTGACGTGCGAGGTGGGGCTGTGCTGGAAGGATCGCCAACATTTTCGCCTGTAGCTCTGTCGGAGCTGTATCCGCACAAAGGTTGAGACGTAGTTCATGCTCTAGGTGTACAGCGTAGTGCCATGTGCCACAGGCCAGGTAGATGGATGAAGCCACGTACCCAACAACAGTCCATGCTGCCTTCGTAAACCCCGAAGATTGTGTACCTAGGCCCGCCAACCAAACGGTAAGCAACGCAGTGGCTCCATATGACACAGAGTGCAGGCAACATGACAGTATGTTCTACATAGAAACCATGCTGTTTGTTCCAGCTGCTTCTTGTCTCGTGTACGGTCTACGGCGAACAGTACCATTTCCACCGTTCCGCACCGCATGGACAACGCAAACAGGCTCTGCAAGACCCGAGCAAGACCTGTGTGGTGTGGATGAACGCAGGGCACGAGCTGTTCCAGGAGGCCAGGATCCAAACGACTACCCTCCTCGAACAGGCCATCTCAGGATACCATGAGGGAAACGATATCGTCTACGCGATGAGCCACCCGGAGTTTGCGGCCGCCACTGCCGCCGGCGCCGCCGCTGCCGGTGGCGACAAGTCCGGTCCTGCTGGTCGAGCGGGGGGTGTCNGGAGGAAGAGGAGGAGGAGGAGGAGGAGGAGGACACGGTGGTGGCCTGGACCAAGCGAGAGCGTCGAAGAGCCGCCGGAGCACCGCCACGCGAGGAAGCGCAGCAGCGGCCGTCGGCGGCGGGGCCAGCGGCAACGGTATTAGCGGGGGCGATACCTTCGAAGATAGCTTCATCGACAACGTCCTCGGCACCATGTCCGACATGCAGTCCGAGGCCCGCCACCGGGAGCGGGGGGACCTCTTGCGAGCCGGAGGCGGCGGCGGTGCCGGCGAGGACGGAAGCGCGAGCACGTTAGATGCAGACGGCCGGGGGGGGGGAGAGGAGGACACAAACGCGGACAACACCGAGATGGGATCGGCGTGGGACGGCAGCCTCGGCGAGGTGTACGGGTCGTCGTGGGAAAAGTATCGCTCGAGCGTGGCCGTCGCCGGTACGAACGCCGCCAACAGGGGTGGTCACTTCGGGAACACCGGCTGCGCCGGGAGCGCCTCGGACGAAGAAGAGCGATGGCGGCGAGATCGTCGGGGCAAGGGGAGACGACGGCGTGGTGGCGGGAAGCAGGGAGGCGACGGCAACGGGTGCGTGCAGGGGCGAAACATCATGGTTGGGACTGTGTTGGACGCGGCCCATCCGGCGTTCGAGCGTCAGGATAACCTGGTGTATGGGTTTGGGCAGGGGAGCAAGGTTTATCCACAGCCCGAGGAATTCCCAGAGGTGGGTGAAGGGTTCCGAGTTTTGCTTGTTGAAAATGGTGGCGGTTGAAGGGGGGTAGGTTACACGGAGCCCAGCTTTCCCACACCGAACGCCTGGTACGTAGCCTCCCGAAAGAGGACCCTAATGTTTTGATGAGGAAACAGGTTCGGTGGGAGACAATAACGGAGGAAAAGAGCCCGATACTAAGTCTACACCATGTTAAGGCCAAACGCGCCGTACGTTCATATCAAAGGCAACCTCCAGCATACATATACCTATACGGCGTTGCTTCACACCATTGAAAAGAAAACAAAGATGCAGAGGTCTTTTGTAGAAGTGTAGGGGCTGGTGAGCTCTTGACCACGTGCGACGGCGGTGGTCCAAGCACTCGACCAAGTGGCACTTTCGCATGGGAAAACCTCGCCGCAAGCAACAAATATGCTGGGAAGCATCAGCCAGCGAGCTGAAGTCGCGATGCAGCAGGCCCCCATATCTCGTTCTCGAAAAGGCACGGACGAGAAAATCGATCCCGTTCTGGCAAGCCAAACGACTCCCGAAAGTAGTTTCTAAAACCAAATCTTGGCCCTGCAGCTGTTGACGTTAAACACTTGAACCGCACTGTTCTTTCGACAGTACCTGGTTCCATCTGTAACTAGAAGAGTGACTTGCACAAATGTTTTTCAGGTCAAAGAGTACATGTCCTGGCGACTGAAGCGGAATCGAAAGCGCCTGGTCCGCCTGGACCGGGCCGCGCGTAAGATCCAAGGTGCATTGCGCGCCTACCTGGCTCTGAAGAGGGCCCAGCTCATGAGAGAGAACCGGGCGTGCGTCTACATCCAGACCATTTTCAGGGGTTGGCGCGGGAGGTTGATGTTTCTGGAGAAGTAAGTGGGCCGAGGGTAGCCGGACATGAACAGCCCTCCCGGCAGTCCGTGTGGTTTTGTCGTTTTTCAGGTTGTTGTGATGAGCGGCGTCGGGGCAACGGTATTACAGAAGCGTTAAGTTGGATACTGTCTTGGGTGTCGCTTCTTGCCGGATTCGTTTCCACCGTCTTTCCACATGTCTACAAGTAGGTTCTCAAGGGATCTCGCGTCATATTTGCAAGCGCAGGCATGGTAGAGGCGAGAAGAGCCATTCCCCGCGCGGGTTGTCGTATCCATGTGTATCAACCGGGTATCCATGTGTATCAACCGGGTGCTGCAGTTCGAGCCAATCACATCCAATCTGCGTTCTCTTGGTTTCCATCCACATGGTGCACTGCCGCGTGGCGGTCCAACTAGTGTTTGGCAAAGTACGAAAACGCTGCTAGCCCCGCCAGTCCTCCGGGCGAGATGCCTCCAACCCGACTGCGTGCTCCTTGGAACGGAGATATCTGTTGTGTACACCACCAGCTCGACGAAACACGCAACAGCGTGTGTGCGTGCGGATGAACGGCCTAGTAGTACTTCGTGGAGAGCGTTGCCGAAATGAAACAGGCCCAACACCGAGTACGCTGGACGAACCAAACCAAGCCATACCTGCTTCTTTTCCTTGTAACTACTACGTCGCGCTGTGGTGCGCTTGTGTCCCACACAAACCCAGGTTGAGGTCGGTGTGGGCGGCCCAGGTGGTGCAGAGGAACTGGAGGGGATACGCCTCGCGGCGGTGGTTCCAGCTCCTCCGCCGGCAGCAAGCCGCGTGCGGGCACATGCAACGCGTGTGGAGGGGGGCTCTCATCCGGCGGCTCGTCAAGGCGACCAGGAGAAGGCGGGACCACGCGGCCGCCGTGATCCAGGTCAGGCGGTCACCCTGCCTCGATTCGATGGGTAGTCCTCTCACCCCGATACCTGAACATTGATGAAGGCTGTCTATCACCGGGCGTCGGGGTGATGGCGTGACAACGCCATAGGACTGAATTACGGGGGCGGCGGAAGATTCTTGAGGATTTGATTACGCATGCTCACGCATGGTCCCGGGAGGCACAGTAAAAGACAACGGCACCTTGTTTTTCCACCATGTAGCTCGGCGCCCCAACGCCACCTATCCAACGCGGGAAAAACAGCACGGAGAGCTCCCGATGTTTTCTCAACAAGCACATGGCCAACCCACAAACGGCGCGTCACCGCGGTGACAATGACCCCGCAAGCCCACGATGATCATTGTTGACCCACCCCGCCTTTGCAGTCCCTCTGGAGGGGCGTGTCCGGGCGGCGGTACGCGTTCCGCTGCCGAGAGGAGAAATACAACGCTATGACCATCCAGCGCGTCTTCCGCGGGCACACGGGTCGCCGCCGGGCGGGGCGGGAGCGCGACAAGTACCTCTTCTCCAAGAGCCAGAGCCAGGGGATAGACTTCGGCCGGCAGATGCTACTCGAGCACAAGCTCCACGCGACCCGGCTGCAGAGCGACGTCCAGCTCCTAACGGGGGAGAAGGTCGGGGCGGAGGAGGCCGTGGAAGCGATGATGGAGGAGATCAGCGAGTTCGAGGAGGCGGTGACGGTGCTCGAAAGGGAGATGCACCAGCTGTCCAAGATCGAGACCGAGGCGGTGGGGGTCCTCGACCAGGAGGCACGGTGAGAGTTATGGTGTATGGCGTGTGGAGAGACGTGGGCTGGATGGAAAGGATGCCAGGATGAGCGGGGAGGGGTCTGTTTTGCTTTATGTGTCGTCAGATGGCTATTTGGACTCTCGGTGTGTTGCGTTTCCACCGAGGACATCGAGAAATGTGGCACGTCTCTTTCGAGTTCTGGATGGCTGCGACGTTTGGGTTTTTTACTTCGTGAACCTGGTACCGGTCCATGGTTCCGTCCGATCTGTCGCGGTATTTATCCAACACCCAGGCGCGGACCGTACGTAGTATGACTCGTTGGTAATAACTTTAACTTTCGAATGCCGAACTTCACACCGAATACTCGCAAGCGCTCATCCTCACCACCCGCCCGACCGCCCTCGCTCCCGCGTTCGCTCGCACTCACGCCTTGTCAAGGCTCGAACTTCGAGAACAAAAGTCGCGATTGGACAAAGAGTTTGGAGAAATGCTCGGCAAGATCGCAGACCGTAAAGATAGGCTGCTCCACATGGAGAAAAAGCTTGCCACCCTCGACAGGACTCGCCTCGGCAAGGAGGTATGAAATATATGTTATTGTGTATTCGGATTGTGTTGGTTAGTTGCGGTTGACGTTTGAGCTGAAAGGACGTAGTATTTTGCTGTTGGGGTGTTCTTCGGTTGCAAGCATTGGGACTTCACGACACTCAGTCAATAGTGAAGAGAGTGACATCCACTGGACTGTTGCAGGTGGTTGTTTCCGTTATTCATACACCCCCGGTTGGCGTTATCGGGACAAAATCCGAAAGAGTTAATCCATGAAAGGTGTGCAGTTGGTTTCGCTGTGCGGAGAGTCTGTTGAAACCGCCAACGTCGACTCTACGCCCTTCTCCACTCAAAAGAACGTCTGCAAACGCCGTCACGGAAAGAGAACGCCGCGTTCCAGGGAGGTGGCTGGGCTTCAATGGATAGTGGACGAGGGTTGTTGTTATCTCGCCTCAGAGCGGGGTCGTAGCGCACCACGCTACAGAAACAACGCCAGCGGTATAACGGAGGGGAGCGAAATTGACCCACCACAACATACCGGTCGGAATCGTTTTTTTCCGACGGCAATCGCTCTGTTGCTCCGCCCTTCGGTCTTGGACACGTCACCTCACGCAATAAACAACTTGCTGCCACGCGCGCGATCGCAGGAAGAACTGCGGACCTTGGAACGAAAGCTCGTCGTCCTCTTGGAAGAGCAGCAGCGGGAGCTGGACAACATCCGCCGTCGCCAGGAAAAGAAAGGCGTGCTCTTGCTCACGGCGTCCGGAGACGGCAGCGGCGGCGGGCCGGGGGACATGCTTTGCGGCGGCGGAGGCGGGGCGGGACCGTCCGCGCAGGACAAGCGGCAGGCGGCCCAGCTCATGCAGTCCACGGAAACGCTCATGAAGTTCGGGTTCATGTCCATGTCGATGACCTACTTCAGCAGCCTCAACATGATACGCGCCATGCGCAGCGTCGGAGCCACCGACACCGTCATGGCCGCACTTGCGCACAACGCCAACGGTGCCGGTGGCGGCGGGGCGGGAAGCGGCGGCGGCGATAGCGGGGGTGGGCGGGATGACGGGCGAGCTCTGGCGCTGGAGCAGAACGAAAAGTTAGGGGCGGAGCCATTCCGGCCCGCACTCAAGCCTGGGCAGCTCCCAGGGCAGGAACCGCTTGCGGTGTCTGCGTGGAGCGTTGATGACGTCGCTCGTTGGTTGCAGGCGAGACATATCACGTTGCGGGTTTGATACAGGAGACTGCGAGGTGCTTGGTTCAAGTTTTTGTAATTTTATTGCATTGCGGAGGTATGATTGTCGTCATGCTTCAAGGCCCTCAAGGCAGCCAGAAAGAACATGTTTTCACCAATATGGTCGACGCTTTGGCAATCGACATCCTGGGGTGCTCCGTCTCAGGGTCGACCGGCGGTTCGCTTGCATGCCTTTAACCACTCATACCTGCATCACCACCAGACATGCAACACTGTCGAGCTTCTACCTTGGCAGACACTTGCAAAATTCGTTCGTTTTTACCGTTGCTACGTGCAGGCACAGAGTACCCCGAAGATCACGGTCGGTGGTCAGATAGGAAAGAGCTGCCCCCTTCCTTCCCCCCACGCACCGACCCTGACCCCGCACACATCAACCGTTCCGACTAGTGTAGGCGTTGCAAGGGTTCGAATACCTGAAGCAAACCCTCGCTAATATCCCCGATCCACGCGAGCTTCCTACAAGCGACTTTCAACCTTGACGATGTTTAAGGCTCCATTGCCAACAGCCGCGCCCGTGCCCTCCGCCCATGGTCTCCGCTCGCCGTCCTCACCCCTGCACTCGACTACACCCCTGCACTCGACCATACCCCCCCCCCCGTACGCCCGCCTCCCACGGCAGACGTTGACCTTGACGCAGTACCAGGAGGCCTTCATCGCGGCGGCCGTGGACGGAGCGTTCCTGTACGACCTGAACGATGACGACCTTAAAAGCAGCCTCGGAGTGGAGCACCGGCTGCATCGCAAGAAAATTCTAAACTCGATCGGTCGCCTCAAGGCCGCCGAGGCGGAGAGAGTCCGACCGGTCGCTCTCAACTCGGTAAGCCCGTGGCACTCACAACACTTAACATTCGAAGACATGCCGGCTATAAATCCTTAGGTGTATATATTGCTACCTTCTTTTTCCCTTCGAAAGAGAAAACGAGAATCCCTTACACGTTCGCTTGCTCCCTCACTGCTACAAGGTCCGCTCTATTACTTGCGTATCAATAACAAGTACAAGACGTTAGCGTTCGTTGTGCGTGTACAATGTGGTGCGCCAGAGGCAGACACCACGTGCACCCTGATTCTTGCCATATCTTCTCACACAGAGTGCCGGCAAATCCATAAAAACCACTTTTAAGAAACAAGCAGGAAAAATTGCCGCCGACACCACGCAAAACCCCATATGGTCAGTTAGTAAAAGACCGCGGTAAGTCGTTGAGACACAGCAGTACGGTCTTGCCTTGCTCAATGCAGGTGTTTCTTGTGACTGAGCCGAAACTGCCCCCCTCCCCCACTTCCCTCTCGGCTTGAAAAGGCGATGTCGAGCCAAAAGGGGATGCAGGGCTCTCCGGAGGGCTTTCAGCAGCAATCATTCGACCAAGGGTTCGACCCGGTCGTTCTGGGTGACGCTGGCGAGGCTTTGGGCAGGGTTGGGACGGCTGACGCGGGCGGCTTACCGGGAGCTAGTGGCGGTGGTATTGGGGCCGTGTCGGTGCCGATCAAATTCAAGGAACTCCTGGTGCTCACACGCCGAGGTACGTACGTGAGATAAATAGAGACGTGCGTGGTGAAAAAGCATCGTCGGAGTCTATCATATGCTAGGTATTGCACGTGTCTTGTGTTGGTCTGACGTGTGTTACACTGTCTGTTAGCGTTGCCGGTTGCATTAGGCTACCTTCGTGGGTCGATACGTCGTTTGTCTGTGAATGCGTGCGTGCGCCCTACAAATCGTCTAATACCACGCGTGCACAATGCTGTCGGTGTTGTAGCACTACTGTAGCATGCCTACAGCAGAGGTAAGACGTGCGCTTGCTATCATGTGTGTGTTGCTTGCCTCATACTTTAGTGACAGGCGAGATCAGTGCACCTGCTCCTACGATGAGCGGTGGGCATGACCGTTTGTGCTGGGTGGGACATGCACCGTTTACCCTTTTCTTACGATTCCAACACGTCACCTATGTTCTGTCACCGCTGTGCACCTGTATATAATCGGGCAGGCAAGTACAAGCAGATCCGCGAGATACTGGAACCGCTGCCCGATCGGAGGTTTGACACGAGCACCATTCGCGTCCCGTACGTGACCGGCTTCGGAACGGCGTACGTCGACGCCTACGAGCAGGTGCGGTACGGGCTGTAGTCGCGACACAAGGCTCCACCGAGAAAAAATACACCCACGATCGCCGTAGTTTCCCAAGCATATGGGAGGTTTTCCCATCGCGTAAAGCCAACACAACTACAAGTACTACCGGGCCGTACTTCAGTTTCAAGCAAAGCGCTGTTGGGATCGGGGTGCTGGCCGTGCAAGCACGGGAGGATGCCAAGCTTCGCGCCTGCTCCAGCGACGAGAGTTGCGATCACGTTTAACGTACAAGCACCGACACGAGTTTCGTCACAACAACACCCCCAATACACCCCACGTCCTCATTTCCGTCCGTCGACGTTCTCTTGAGTGTCACCCCGTTCCCTCACCACTACCCCGATTGGCATCCCACGCTTTAGTGGGTCTGAATCCAGAAAAGACAGCCTCTCTATATACCCGTGCATCACTCTTGCAACGAAAATATTTTTCCTCTCGTGACACGATGCAGCCCCCGCAAACAATCCACCTTTCTGTCCTCAGGAACCGTTCAATCTGAACAAAACTGACGACCACGGCAATACCCTTCTTATAGTGGCGGCCCAAAATGGCAACCTAAAGATGGCCAAGCTCTATGTCTACAAGGGGGCTAACCCTAACCACCAGGTGCGCGAATGCTCCTCTTGTAGATAAGCCTCTCAAAGACGGGCGGTGCTCTTGGCCTACATGCCATACTCAAGCGGCACGCATGATACGACCACTAGTGCTCCACGTGCCTCCATTAAGCAAACTACTGTATCTGTACCTCGTTTACTTTGCGGTGCCTTACCACAGTCACCCCGCTGACCGCCCCCCCCCCATTCGCTGGAAACCTCACCCGACAACCTTGCGACAGAACAAGGCGGGACAAAGCGCCGGCCACTACGCCGTCAGCTATCAATTCTTCGAGATGAGCGAGTGGCTATTCCTGCAGGACGGGAACGGCGGCGGGGCCGACGACACCCTCGAGAACTCTTTCGGCCTGGGGCCGTACGACGGCCTTCAGCCGGATGGCGGGGGTGGGGGCGGAGAGTTGATGCTGGAAGGGGGGGGTTAACGTGGTCGTGCTAGCTTGTTGTAAACGTTAAGCCACGCACATACATACCGTGTTGAGCTACGTACGTACGTTTGTGCGGGTGCAAGTCGACGCCTTGTGGTTTTTGAGATGGAATAGTATAGTTGTTTTGGTATTGTTTTAGTTCATGGTGTTCGATATAGTCGGCATAGATAGGATCATAGATTTTCCCAGACGATTAATGCTGAAACAACACAAAAAAGAAGACATCATCACCGGGAGCTCCGCTGCTGGAAACAAACTGTACAAGTGTGGAGGTCAGGATGTAGAGATTCAGGGAGCACAGACAAACGTACATAAAGAGTACGATCTGCGGGAATATGTGATAATAGGTTACCGTTTTCCGAGGTTCCACAACTCTTGCGATTCCCAACGGCTGCGAAGAGTTGATGAATCTTTAGGAGAATGGGAAATGGGCCCACGAAGGCACAACCAGGAACAAGACCAGTCAACAGAGCTCCATATCGTGCAAATCCACGAATGCAAGAGGTTATTGACAAATGCGTTGGTGAAATGGAAGAAGCTGGGATAATCGAACAAAGAGCGAGCCCATGGGGGTCAGCAGTAACGTTGGTAGCAAAAGCTGACGGCACTCCCCGATTCTGTGTAGATTACAGAGTGACGATCAACAAGAATCTAATTCGTAAATCGTGGCCAATGCCTGAGATGGCAAGTCATATTGACACAGTAGCAGGTGCTAAATACATCACAATCTGCGATGTACAAAGTGCACACCCCCAAATACCAATTGCCGAAGCAGAACAAGACAAGACTGCATTCGTTACTCGGGACGGAAAATGGGTTTTTGAACGACTCCCCTTTGGCATCGCCAATGTGCCTTTTCTGTTTCAACGCACGATGGCATTGACTTTCGCACATTTTGGTCCACAATCTGTTCTTCTCGTGTACATGGAAGATCTTATTTGTTGTTCATCTATATGGGAGGGTCATATCTCTCTTTTGGAAAATAAATACCTTTCAAGCGCTACAAGACTCAGGTCTTACAGTAAAACCATTAAACGTACAATTCGGGCCAAAGGAAGTAAAGTATTAAGTATTTGGGGCATATTCTTTCCGCATATGGCATACGTTTAGGTGAAGATCGGGTGAAATCGATACTAGAGTTGCCAACGCCAACAAACATAAAAGGTTTGCGATCAGTCGTAGGAACGGTCAACTATGTCAGGAAATTCATCCCAGGCTTAGCCGCCGTCACCGCACCAATGGTTGACCGTAAAGAAAGACGCAGTGAAATCGGTAGCGAAACGCTGGGTTCCGAAACACGATGAAGCATTTGCCGAAGTGAAACGATTACTCACCAACGCTCCGTTCTACAATTTCCGGACTTCTCTAAAGAGTTCGTTTTCCACGTGGACGCATCTGAAGTGGGAGCAGGAGCATTCCTGGCACAACAGAATGGCGATGACGTGAATATCGAAGCATACTTTAGCCAGCGATTCAACAAAAGCCAACAACACTACTCTGCCACCATAAAGAAGCTATGCTGTTGTTCTAGCAATTCAACACTGGTGTCCTTATTTATGGGGTAGACATTTTACGTGCATAACTGATCATGCGGCATTGCGATATCTTGATACGATGAAAGACACGTCAAAAATGCTCACCATATGGGCAATAGCACTGCAATCCTTCGATTTCACGGTAAAACATGAACCGGGAAAGTTGCGTGTAGAACGTTATTGTGACTTTTCGTGTTTGATAATGAACAAGAACGACCTGCGCCGAACCTTGCACCGATTTGCCGAAATGCACCGGACGATCCAAAGCTGCAACAACACATGCATGCCGAACAGACCATACCAAGTCTCGACTGACAAATTGGATGATGTGCAACCAGTCCTTAGTGATAGGGAATAATTCACAGTCAATTAAAATTTCGTCAGCGCCACGGAAGTATTTGAATCTGTTAATCATGAGAAATTGCGCGAGAAACAAGCCGAAACATACGGCGAATACGTCCAATACATTTTAGACGCCGAAGCACCGCTACCAGACAACGAAACGGCAACGTCAATATCGTACTATTCCATACAAGACGGTTTACTGTTTTAATCGTATCTGCCAGGACACCTACGAAAACGAAGCACTTTACGTGATCAACTTGTATTCCCACATGACCTCACCGGTTTAGTGATGCACGCATCCCATGATCGATCACGCTCTTTCAGGTGGACACCTCGCATTTCGTCCAACGCACAAAAAAATACGACAAAAATATTGGTGGCAGTCAATGAACCGTGACATCCGGACTTGGTGCCTAGAATGCCAGGTCTGTTAACGGAGAAAGCCACCTCACCGCCGTCCGAAACTGCCGACGGGTCACGTACCTGTACAGCGGCCGTTTGAAAGAGTATCAGTCGACCTAGTCGAGTACAAATCACTTTCAATGTCAGCAGTCAGTGAGATGTAAATACGTGCTTTCCATGATGGACCACTTGACGCGTTATGCAATTCTCACACCAGTTCCAAACAAAACTGCTGAAACCGTAGCGCGTGTAATCATTGATCGGATTATCAGTATCTTTGGCCCGCCTGAAAAGCTACACTCTGATCAAGGTACCGAATTCCAAAACAAGATAATCTATCAGTTGCAAACAACCTTGGGCCACAAGAAACCACGCACGACGCCGTATCGTCCGCAAGGTAATTCGGTCTCTGAGCGTGTGCATTCAACAATCAATGCATTCCATGCTGGCAATGCATAGCTCCATTAATCGTGACAACTGGGCGGATCTCCTGCCAATGGTTCAAACTAGCATTTGATAATGTGTCGTTTAATATGACCATGCATGAGACACCGTACCTCTTGATGTTTGGCCGCCAAGCACGGTTACCGGTAGATGTAAATCTCGGAATCCCATATGTAGGATCAACTGCAGATACCGAGAGTTTTGCTCGAAACACACGAGAAAATCTACAAATTGCTTGCGAACTAGCGCGAAGAAACCTCACGGAACGTGCAGAGAAGCAAGCTGCGAAAAACGAAAAGTTACCGCAGTACCTCGTCTTTAAACCTGGTCAACAAGTACTCGTATACCGACCACACCAGGATTCAGATGGACCAAATCCGAAGCTGTTCTTACCTTGGCGAGGACCGTATACCATCTGCTCACAACTATCGCCGGTTGTGTATAGGATGAAGCGAGTCAATTAAACACGAGAAACATCCGTGCATTTTGCCATCCATGTAAAACAGTACCATGAAAGGGAAAACCACCAGCACCACAGCTTGAAAAGCTGGCTGAATATTTCCTTGGAAAACAGATTCCCTTACCTGCCCTGACAGCAAACAAACGTCGAAAATCAACCGAAAATTGAAAATTACGTCGTACTGAAAGAGGTATGGCATCAAAGCGATCAAGGCCGAAAAGGTCCGCACAACTATCATCGACATCGTCTAAGACTGAAAGGATACGGTCCTGAATCAGATCTGATGTATCGTGCCGACAAAGTGCCGCAATGCCACGAAATGATTTCCGCATACCGATCAAAACATGATCTGGACATCGCCCCCGCCAAGAAATCGTCCGAGAAGTGCCGCAGAAAATAGCAAACCGAAAACGCGACGAAGATAGGGATCCGAGTACAAACAAACGCGCAATGCACAAAGCAAGGCCAAACACGTTGTGTACCAAGCTAGCAAAATGCGTGAACAAGAAAAAAAGTACTCAGCGGAGAAGTAAACGAAATCCGAAGGCAGACAAAAGATACATTTCCAAAGAGTCTAAATGGTGAAAGGAATAACATCCAAACAATAATAAGGTCGCTACCCAGCATTTGGTTGGGTCAAATGCTGGCGAGGAAATGTCAAGTTGACCGGTCTCTAATGAAATTGACGGTCGCCACTCGGTGACACTAATCATGAGTCACGGAAACAGTCTTAAGACTGTCGAACACCGTATGCCTATCGTACTTAATGAGCAGCATGACTGCTTACACCCGGCGGTATGGTTACGCCAACCAGAACCTGCACAAAGTACAAATTCTGGATACATCACAAGAACAAGCTTTGACACATAATTGATTGACATCATATTTGGTAGCTTGTACGAGCCTTGGAGAGATTGAATCCGTACGGTGTTGCTTACAACACGTACGTGTGTATTCCACACGGCACTGCTGTCAGCTGTCTTCGGATAATGAGGGAGATATTTAATTTTCGAAGAGCTGTATCTGGATCCAATGATACATGCATACCTGCTCCACTACAATTAGTCTAGTCTAACATGCAAACAAGCATGTGCGCCAAAACCCAACTTCAACAAGCTGAGCTTTCGGCGAAGAAAAAGGAGGGCTATGTGGAGGTCAGGATATATGGAGATTCAGGGAGCACAGATACACGCAGATAAAGAGTACGATCTGAGGGAGTGTGTGATAATAGGTTACCGTTCTCGGAGGTTCCACAACTCTTCTTGCGATTCCCAATGACTGGGAAGAGTTGATGAATCTTTACGAGAATGGGAAATGGGTCTAGCCCACTCTCCGCACCACCCTAGCTTGACTGAGTTCGCTCGATCACGCTTGGCATTCCTCGCCACATTGTACCAAAGGGAATAGCCAACCTCCGGTGGCAGGACATAGCCACCACAACCCCGCACTCTCCGCTCACCCAGAGTAGAGGGCTCCATACGAGAGCCCAACTAAATACATTCGGGCCGCAGCGCTGGTTGCGGCGTATTACGTCTGAAGTACCACGTAGTCTATCACTGCTCTGGGCTCGACTATGTGTCTTGTGAGCTCGTTTATTTGCTCTCGGGTTCAACCTACTGCAATATCTATCCCGTGCTTGCCTGTTGATTTGAAGGTCTTTTTCTGTGTCGACTACTAGTCTACTCATTACTGCTTGCTGAAGAGTCACCAGAGGAATATCTTCTGCAATACACCCTTGCATTTTGAAATGTTTTTCAATGCGAGCCCCGTCGGATTTCTTTTTCAAGTGTTAGGCTGTTTCTTACAGAACCGGATTCTTGATCTGAAAAATCGATTTTTT